ATGGATGATATGGTGAATGGATGATATGGTTAAGAGACATGTTGAGCATACAATGTGTGAGAGCAGAAGGAGGAACAGGAAGTATCTGGTCTCTTCAGCAGTAATAATAAACTGCTGTGGAGAGAAAATGAGAAACCCGACCAACTCACGGGTGCAGCAGAAGGTGTTTTAGATCTGGAAGTCGGCTCTAAAATTTCTAACAAAACACGTCAAAAAGAAGACACTCACGACTCGTCTTCTGAGGGAAGCCGACCAGAGTAAACAGCCTTTATTTCAACAGCAGCACACGACTTCATCACACGTGTTTCCCGCTGGTTGGCTTTGTTTTGTTCCACCTGAATGTCCCGTTTGAGAAGACGGACAGGATGACGTCCACTCGTCTATCTGCAGCGTGTGACAGGAAGTGAGCGTCCGTCACGCGTCACAGTCGCAGGTGGTTGAAGCCCTTTTGGATTTAGATTCGTTTCCCCGCGGCGCTCGGCAGGCAAACAGGAAGTGACACACGCGGAAACACACGACAGTACGAGCGGCTGAGAAAAAGCTACACACATCAACACAAACACAAGCTACATGTCACATCGAAACTTTAGATTCTTCTTTTATTTTGACCGAAAAACAAAGTCAATCTAATTCAAATCTTAATTCAAATCGATTCAATTCTTCATATAAAATTGTTTTACATTAGTGCCTTCAGTGGGCAAGATTTCAATTTGTAAATATTTACATGAATACTACATATAGAATTACTTAATTATGTTTTACTTTCAACTGGTCAAGCAGTTAATTCAAAGAATGAAGGTGATTTAAAGTGATTTTCACATCAAGAATGTGTTTTTTTTTAATGTCACAAATATAATTCATAACAGCAAAATGTTGTCTGTTTACTAATCAAACTCATACTTATTTTTCACATTTAGACTTAGTTCTGGATATTGTTCATATATAATTTAAGATATTGCAGAACTCAGCGTATAGCAGAGAGCTCGGCAGGAGATTCAAGTGGAGAATATTACAATAATGTGCCTTTAGTCTTTAAGATCTTACTGATGTGTGTAAATATATAACTAATGCTGTCAAATCAATATCTAATGTGCACAAATGCTGTACAATTGTTGTAATCCACCAAACCTGCCCAGAGAATTGCTGATAACACAGACAGGAAGTTGCTTTCTTCCATCTGGGCGTCGGCCCTTGTCCTAAAAAGCCCCTCGGCCGTCACACGTGGAACCTGGAAACACCTGAGAAGCTTCAGCTCAGGGAGCAGGACACCAAACACACACACACACACACACACACACACACAGACCCTCCGTGCATCACGTACACGTATGTTCAGTGACGGAGCGCAGACCACCTGTTGTGCACAAATAACTACGTCAATGTGAACGTCTCCGCGCTGAAGCTCCTGTCCCCCGGAGACAGACGTGTCCTGGGCTTTATTTCTCTTCTAAAGGAGTAAATCTACACTTTCTTACTAATTAATCCCACAAAAAGACCAAAAGCAACACGTGTCTCTCAGCTACGAGGCGCATTGGTTCCCACCGACGTAAAAGTTTCAGTCATTTCCTAAAAAGTCTCATTCAAAAACATGTTGTAATGATTTAAGATCTTTAACCTAAACCTAAAATATAAGTTCATAATAACGTCCATTTAATGCGTAACATCAACAGGCCTAAAATAGTGCAGTTTATAATCACGTCTTTTAATAATTGACTATTACAAAGATAGTCAGACTATTGGACACAATCCCCATTTCTATCAATGGTCAGTTTGATTCAAAGAGAAAACCTTATTTAGGTGGATTTCACTCATTTTAAGGTGCGATAGTTTAACAATGAGGTTGGATTACAAACAGTAAAAGAGAGACTTTTAGAGCATTTCATGTCGTACGGAATCACATTCAGTGTGACTCTGATACAAACACACAAACATTCAGTGTGGTTTTTGGTCGACACGTGGGATTAATTGACAACAAAACCAGACTCGTCCTTTAAAAGAGATTCCAGAGTAAAGTTGTCTATCAGCCTCGTATAAGAAAACGCATTTAGTCTGTTTGAGAGTTTCACCTCCACTTCTGTCTTCTTGTGTGTTGCAGTCGAGCAAAAAGTGTGTTTGATCCACCGACAAAGTCCACAATTGTAAATGTTCTCCTTTATACTTTGATACACACACATACTGACCGAGGCTTCTTTTCTAAACACATTGGTCACAAAACGATCCGACTGATGCATTCAGCCGTTTGCGGTCGCTCCAGCGCTGCAGACCTCCAATGTGGCCGCCATTACCCAGAAGCCCTCGGGGGTTGCAGTACACGAGCGCGTCCGTGTGTTCAGACGTCGGTGCTGACGCTCTGGCTGACCACCTCCTTCATGGTGACGGAGCGGATGAGGTTGAGCTTCTGGTAGAGGCTCTCCAGGTCCATGGGCAGCTCCAGGTCCTGCTGCTGCACAGTCCTGTAGCTGATGCGCCGCCCGCCGTTGCACAGCCGCTCCGGGTGCTGCAGGTAGAAGGGCAGCGAGCAGCGGGCGCAGGACGGGCAGAAGGCGTGCGAGCGCTGGCACCTGCGGGGCGGCAGCGGCGGCGTGGAGGAGTAGCAGCTGGCGGGCCCGTTGGCCTCGGTGAGGAAGGTGGGCGGGTAGTTGTCCGGCTCCTCGAAGTAGCGCAGCGGCGTGGGAGGCGTAGGGGGGAGCGGACAGAGCCAGGGGCCGGGACGGGGACATGGTGTCCAGCTCTGGTTCCCCGTCCTCCCCCTTCTCAGACTCGCCCCTCTTACAGCAGTAGTACTGCAGCGGGGACAGAAGTCAACAGTTACCACGTGTCCTGCTCTTACCGACAACGTGGACACCTGCAATACAGCACAGACATCTCACCCAGAAGACGGCGCCCGAAGCCAAGCAACCGTCTACAGAAGTGGATCTGTTTGCATTTCCTGTGTGACACCAGAAGTCAACCAGCACTTCTTTGTACTTCTTTCGCTCTTTTTAGAAACCAACGGGTTTTGTAGCCTGAATAGATTTTCTTGGTGGTGGAGGCAGGTCGGGATGTGGAAGGGTCCAACAAACCGCTGGTTGTAGTTATGTTAGAGCAAAAGAAACTTTCCTAAGCTACTACATGTGTTCCCTGCACCTAACTAAGCTGTGTTGGTGGACGGGGTCACCATGGATACCGGGCGGGCGGGTGTAAGAGGATCCGTTGATTGGATGAGCTCTAGCACATGTTTCCCAGGTTAGCATTACACGTGGCATGAGTATGTTAGCATTTAGCAGCGACTTGGTCCTGTTGAGGTTTCCTTGACATTGGATTACTGTGGTGCGTTGGAGGAGCGTCCTACCTGCAGCCTACATAAACACAGCACAGCGACGATGGTCAGTAAGATGACTGTAGCCAGAACGCCTCCCGCGATGACCACGGTCCCGGCTGACATTCGAAATCCTCTCCATCAACAGCCTGCAGGGGGGAATAAGAAACAAGGAGGAAGGTGGATTGAGAAAACAATGGGGACGGTTAGAGGTGAGGTGGAGAAAGGAAGGAGTCAAGGGGACGATGTAAAGGAGAGTAAAGGAGGAGTGGAGGAGGCAGTGAGGCAAAGAGAGGAAACCGACCACAGAGAGGAAGAAAAGAAGAGCGAGGAGGAGAGGAGATGAGGAGATGAGGAAGGGGAAGGAAAATGAGACAGGAAAGGTCGTGAGGAGGTCATGAGAAACAAGGAGAAAGAGCAATAAGTAAGGTGGAGGAGGTGGAGGAAAAGTGAGCAGAGATACTGAAGTAACATTTCAGCTCCGTGTCAGCGTGATGGATGGACCAGCCGGTCTGCTGTGGTGGAGAATGTGAGCGTCTCAGTGGTGACCACATGTCAGCGGCACGAAACACACGTTGCAGAATAAAAGAATCTCAACTAAACCTGCAGAAAATCCCTTCTTTTTGTTTCTGGCAGAGTTTGATGAGGAGATGAAGGCGTCTCTTGTTGTGTGATGAGACTAAACTACAGAGAGACACCGAAGCCCTCCGTGACCTCCGACCCCCTCATCGTCCCTCTCTCCCTGCACCTCATGGGAACTGAAGGCAGCAAAAGTGAAACACAACATCTGTACAAAGGTAAAGATTCTTCTGACTTGTGTGTTTACTTTAAACCTTTCAGATCTGATCCTGTTACTCTGTTATTGTCATCTGTATAGTTATTGTTTTATTGGAGAACGCGTGTACAGCGGCACCAGATTCAACCTCTACTGGTACCTGCTCCTCCTCCTCACCTCTCCGGCTCCTCACAGCCTGAAGCAGTCTGGAGTCCAAGAAAGCCACTTGCACAGGACGACGTGGCACCAAACGCACATTCAGCCACTAGGATCCACCTCAACGCTCAGCATCATTTCTAACGCTGCGGCCCGACCGTCAATTCATCACCGGCTGTTGCTGTGGGTTTCCATAGCGACGGGGCCCCGGACATCAGCATCCCCAAAGGCCAGAGATTCATTTACACCCACACAGCCAAAGTCAAAGGTCAGCATCCGTCCATTGTTCGTTCCTCCATCCACCAGCCACACATCCATCCATCAAAAACCCATCCATCATCCCTCCATCTATCACCCATCGTGCATTTAACAAACATCCATCTATGTATCCATCATCCATCAATAAAACCATCCATCCTTCATCCGTCATCTATCCATCAACTATGAATCTACACATCCATCAGACCATCATCCATTCATTCACTATACATTCGTTTATACGAAAGGTATATTCATCCATCCATAGACCATCTACTCATCATCCATCCAAAGGCCATTTATCTGAGGACCATCCATCCATAGACCATCAACTCTCCATCCATCCAAATGCCATTAATCTGAGGACCATCCATCCATCTGTGCATCCATCCGTGCATTCATTCATGCATCCATCCATCTATAGACCATCTACTCATTATCCATCCAAAGGCCATTTATCTGAGGATCATCCATCCATAGACCATCTACTCTTCATCCATCCAAAGGCCATTTATCTGAGGACCATCCATCCATAGACCATCAACTCTCCATCCATCCAAAGGCCATTTATCTGAGGACCATCCATCCATCTGTGCATCCATCCGTGCATTCATCCATGCATCCATCCATCTATAGACCATCTACTCATTATCCATCCAAAGGCCATTTATCTGAGGACCATCCATCCATAGACCATCAACTCTTCATCCATCCAAAGGCCATTTATCTGAGGACCATCCATCCATAGACCATCAACTCTTCATCCATCCAAAGGCCATTTATCTGAGGACCATCCATCCATAGACCATCAACTCTTCATCTATCCAAAGGCCATTTATCTGAGGACCATCCATCCATCTGTGCATCCAGCCGTGCATTCATCCATGCATCCATCTATCCATGGACCATCCATCCATCCATCCATCCAACCTATCTCCGTTTCCATCCTTTCAAATTTGACTAACTGACCAGTTTAAGTCTGACAATTCTACATTTCATTTTTATCAATGCATTGGAACAAATAAGAAGAAAAAGAAGAAAGCCAACATCCCTGCCGATAACAGACCCTTAAAATACTTATTTAAGTAAATAATATGTGGTTTTTTTAGGATTGATACCGTTTATGTCATTGTTAGCTTGATAGGAGGTCCGTTGTTTATGCCTCTTATCCAAAACATGTGGCAGTACGTCAGTCCAAACGTCCTCAGTCACAGGAGGTTTATATAGAGGTGACTATGATTTATATTCTACTCAAAGCCATTGCCTTTTGGAAATATGTTAATATGTTAAAGACCATGTTGACTAATTCTAAAATCCTAGACAATGCTTTGTAATACATGTAAATATTACATTTAATATTTAAGTACATACTTTCATTTTATTTATTTTTTTACCATCTGCACATAACCACACCTTCACTGTGAAGAGTGTACGAGGTGCGATTTTGACGCCAATTTACGCGCATATTTAATGTTTTCAAACTGATCAGAATAATTATTTTCGTTGGATAGCAGCCTCTTTCCCGCAGGTTTTACACACACACACACACACACGCACACACACGCACACGCACACGCACGCGCACGCGCACGCGCATATACAACACACACACGCACAAACACACACACACACACACGCACGCACGCACACACACTTAAGTACACCAATCTGAATTTGGCGTTTCTTAAATTCAGATATTATTTAAATTCACGCGCGTAAAATCCGTTGATTATCGACAGTCATCAACTAATATAAAACACCGCAGCAATCAAATAAACACAACAAACTCTACAATCTTTCGGAATGAACTTTTAAGAATGCCAACAGTGCAGAGCGGCTCTTTTACGCGGACTTTACGCACAGCAGGCAGCGCGCGTTTGGGATATTTCGTGGAACAACGCGATATCCGTCAGTGTGTGAGACACGAGGACACTCTTACCCAGCACATCAATAAGTGGATCGTCCCATGGCGTCCCCCCCCACCCAACCCCCCCCTCGCACCTCCAGCTCGGGGCGCCCCGGGTTTCGGGTCGGTGTGTTGAGGTTGGTAACGGAACCCAGAGCAGGTCTGTCGGTCCCGGTGCGCCTTCACATGCAGATGTGTCTCCACGTGTCTCTGTGAGCTTTCACCGTCCAGCTGCAGAGCTCTGACGTGCGGCGGCTTCCTGCTTCATAAAAGCTGACAAAACTTTGACTTCTTCCTTGTTTCCTTGTTTACTTTCATTATTCGCAGCTTTAAAAACAAAACAAGTCAGTCCTCAAAATCCCAAATAATGACACGTGTCCTCTCCTGGTCCTCTGGCTGCTGCTGTTTCTTTGTCTCTGGTCCCAACACGTCAAAGGACGCGGACCGAGGAGCAACACGCGGGAGGAGCGCGCGCACGAGCACGAGTTGCTTGGGGGGAAAAAGCTCCGGTCCGCTTCTAATTAATTGGGGATGAATGTTGTGCAAACCGGATCCGGTCTCATCCGGTCTGTTCGTGTCCGATGCTGACCTGCGCGCATGTGAGCGCGCGTCACAGCGCGCGCTGCAGTTAGATATTTATATCTCTACACATATACTGTGTATATATACTCATATACTGTGTACATATATGCTCATATACTGTGTACATATACTCATATACTGTGTATATATACTCATATACTGTGTACATATATGCTCATATACTGTGTACATATACTCATATACTGTGTACATATACTGTGTATATATACTCATATACTGTGTACATATATGCTCATATACTGTGTACATATACTCATATACTGTGTATATATACTCATATACTGTGTACATATATGCTCATATACTGTGTACATATACTCATATACTGTGTACATATACTGTGTATATATACTCATATACTGTGTACATATATGCTCATATACTGTGTACATATACTCATATACGGTGTATATATGCTCATATACTGTGTACATATACTGTGTATATATGCTAATATACTGTGTACATATACTCATATACTGTGTACATATGCTCATATACCGTGTACATATGCTCATATACTGTGTACATATGCTCATATACTGTGTATATATACTCATCCATCTGGAATCCACGTCGCTTTATATGCTTTTAGTTTGACCCTTTTCATTTAAACAACTGAAATGAACTTTGACCACAATAAAAAGTCACCATTTCTGGACCCTTTTTAACAGATAATCCTCCTTGATTTCCTCTTCTTCATCGTCATAACCAGCCACCTTCTGAAGGTCACCTCCAAGGTCACCAAGAACTAAAGGCCTTTTTACAGCTAAAACGCCTGAATACATTAGAGCTGCATCTGATGTCTTTCTTTCCAAAGTCAAGTTTGAACGTCTCTTCATCAACTGGAAAAAACAAAAACTGTCAATTTGAATAAAGTGATTGGGTGAGTGTCTCGTTTGTGTTTCCTTGAGTCAAACTGTCTCTAATGCTTTTATGTTGCAGTTTAGTGGCCAAACCGACAGATGAGAACTGCAGCGGAGCATCTGGGTGAGATGGAACCCTCTAGAACGATCCCTCAGCACACGGTGTGTCTGTGGGGAATCGAACCAGAGTCAAACGTGTCCCATCAAAACCAGTAGAAAGACCAGCGAGGCCCAACAGGTCACTGCTGCTGACCGAGGTAGTAAATAAGTCCTCCTACTGGAAATGCACTGGGATTTGTTTGTCACAAAAGTGTGTGTGTGATTTTTTAATTCCCCTCCGCTCATCACGCAGCACTTATTGATCGATGGGATCCGTTGTTGTTTTCTCCGCCGTTGCCATGATACGTGTGACCTCCTCTTCCTCCTCCTGCGCTCTTCTTCTTCCTCCTCCTACTCTTCTTCCTCCTCCTCCTCCTCTTCTACCTCCTCCTCCTCCTCTTCTTCCTCCTCCTACTCTTCTTCCTCCTCCTCCTCCTCTTCTTCCTCCTCCTCCTCCTCCTCTTCCTCCTCCTACTCTTCTTCCTCGTCCTCCTCCTCTTCTTCCTCTTCCTCCTCCTCCACCTCCTCCTCCTCTTCTTCTTCCTCTTCTTCCTCCTCCTCCTCCTCCTCCTCTTCTTCCTCCCCCTCCTTATCTTCCTCCTCCTCCTCTTCTTCCTCCTCCTCCTCCACCTCCTCCTCCTCTTCTTCCTCCTCCTCCTCCTCCTTCGCTCCACGCCGAGCGGCTCCCAGAGGAGACGAGAGGAAGAAAAGGTTTTACCGGGTGAATTATTTAAAGGAGCGGCTGAGATTCCACCGTATTGTACCGACAGCAGCGTGTAATATTGATGAGACGTTAGAGGTTATTTCTCCACTCCTGCGTATCGGCCAGATATCTCAGGTCAAAGCGGCGAGCAGGGAGGAGTCAGCCTCGCTCCACCACTCACATCACGAACAGGAAACGTTGGACGCAGAGCAGCTGTGGTCCTCCAGCTGTGAAAAGAGCGTGACTCCTCCTCCAAATGACCAATCAGCAGCTCCGTGTCCTCTTCATCGCCCTCCTCCTCTTCCTCTCTCTGCGCGTCCAATGACGTCGCTCGATAAGACAAAGGCGGGCTCAGTGTGAGTCATCGGGCCGAGGGGTCGGCGTTCGGCGAGGCCTCCACCTGGCAAAGGTCACGCACCAGGTCAGCAGGAAACCACCCGACAGCTCACAAGTCACACAAGTCAAAGTCGGATTTCACAGGAAACCAACAGCTTGCATTTGGTTTATGATTTTTTTATTAAACTGCCACAATAAAAGTCAAAAAAATACTGATTGATAAAATGTGAAAATCGTTGAGAATTTGCCTTCAATGCAGTTTGTGTTTGAGGAATCAGAACCAGTTCTCCTTCATGGGCTCGGCTCAGCTCCTCTTCAGTGTCCTTGTCCTCTCGGCTTCCTTTCGAGGACACGAGGAGCCGCGGAATCCTTAATGTGACGCGGCGCCATGATACCCGACAAGAACACGGCCGCCTGCGGGAAAAGACGAGGAAGGTTCATTTATATTCCACATTTCAACAACGGAAAGAAACAAACGCTCAACGTCCTGGAAGCTCTTTGATTTGGCTGCAAAATATGTACTAAAATGTGGATTCGTAAGAAGTTTGACCGAAGCATTTAAACGCTAATTGGAAACAACCAAGTTCGCCTCTTTATCTGTTGCTTGATTCGTCTTCACCACTGAGGTCAGAAACCGAGGAACGTTTTCGTCCGTCCAGCGGATCCAAACCGACGAAGCTCTCAGTGAATCACAGAGACACAACGTCTCACTAAAGAGAGAAGACGCCTCCGGCTTCGGTCTCAGTCCGGCCCGACAAACCGAATCAGGGTCACGCGCTCTGCCGCTGAGGATCATGGGAACCGAGTCGTGCTTCCAGGTGGCGATCACAGAAGACACGTCTTTGTCCGGTGGGGCGGGACAGTTGGTCCCGTGTTGTTATTCCGGCT